CAGGAATTAGAAGCTATATAATACAGCTACCTAGATTTATAGAGACTTAAAACCTAAATAGCTTTAAAAATCATTAAAGTGTTAATAACTCCCTGTTAATTGTGGTAGAAAATAATAAATTCTAACTTAGCGGGGATGCTTTGCTCCAAATCTTTAGTAATTTAAAATCTAAATAACTTTATAACTCGCGAAGCTTTAAATACCTTACCCCTAACAGATCCAATTTACCCTTTATGCCATCAGTACCTAAAACATCTAGTCCAGATATTAAGGGGGGTGCATAGAGGATCTATAACTTTAAAATGTAACTTTAAAAATACTAATTAAAAAACTATAGGAAGATAGAAATTAATATATTACTAGCTAAATTTACATACTGTTTAATTAGATTATTATATTTACAAAATTATTAGATCTGCTTTAAAATGAATATTAAAACACTGCACACTTTAAAATACTAGAAATATTAAATACTTTTAAGCTATAAATCTCCAGCAGGCCTAATAAAGCTAAACTAGTAAAATAGCTCGGAGATAAACAAGCTGCAGCAGCAGTATTGGATGATATATATTAATTCTAGCTATTTAATTTAAAGTCTTTAACTTAAAAGATTAAGGTGCAATACTAACTAATAGGGCACTTTAGTTTTAATTATTTAACTGTAATTTAATATTCAATAAAATATTCTATTTTTATAAATGTGGTTTAAACTAACTGTACTTTTTTTTATATGCTTTAAATATATACCGAAGGCCTAAAGTAATATTTTTAATTATTTTAAATATTTTATGTCAACCATGGGTCGTATATATACTTGGAATTATAAGATTCTTTTTTTTAATTATAAAACCAATTAACCTTTTTTTAGGGTTTTAGATACTTTTGTCCCATTCATAGGATTCTAAAATTAAAAAGGCCTAGTTAAAATAGTCATGTATATATAAATTCACAGTCTTTGTAGTTAGTTCTACCTTTTAATTTTATTAGGCGGGCTGTTAATCTTGTCTGGCAGAGATTTAAAAATAATTTTCTCTGGTTATTATTATTATTATTATTCTTTCATATCATAGAGCTTTTTTCAGTCAGAGACTATACATGCTCTATCTACCACCCCAGGGGTGGTAGGATTTGAACTAACAAACAGGTACGTAAATGGTGGGTAAAATCAAACATAACTAAGCAATATGACATTCTAGGATTGGGGGGACCTTAAAGAATGGGTTGAAACATGCTAAATTCCAGATGGTTTTTTATTTTTATTTTGTTTTTGTTTTTCTTTTTGTTTTCCCTAGGGATTCAAGAGCCACTTTCTAGTGGCGATTCCAGTTTCCTTTAGGAATTTGATCAGCTGTTCTTGCCCTGCTTTCTTCGTGAAGAGTTTTTAAAAGGCAAATTTAGGTCTTTTTTGTAAAGGGTCTCTATAGACTCTTCTGATGTCCCTAAATACAGGGCATTGAAGGAGAAGGTGGTGTGGAGTGTGGGGTTTATTACTGTGGCACGATGTGCATATATCACTATCATAGTTAGGTGTTCGAACTAGATAGGATCTGAAAAGCCATGCCCTAGCTTTAGCTGGATGACGGTTGACCAGGTCTGCTTGGGGAGCTTTAGGGGGCTTGGTTTCCATGAAGCTATGGAATTAAAGCCCCTGTATTGATCACTTTTTTTTTGCTTTTCCCCATGCTATGTCCCAATCCCCAAGGCACTTCGCTTTGAGCTCTCGTTAGAGGTGGCTAACTGAGATGGGGCATTTATAGTATTTACTTATCCATTCTGCTCTATACTTAGCTGCTTCGTCAGCTTTGGCATTGCCATTAAGGTTATTAACATCTTTCATCTCTGGGTTTATTGATAAGGATATAAATCCTTCACCAGACCCTGTATTCCCTCCCATGGAATCTCCTGATCCTAATAAACCCACAGCTTTAATATTATTCGATCTCTCCATTTGATAGGCCATCTTGGCACTTGTAAAGGTAATCAGTTCGGGCCGCTTCTGGGATAATTTCCGAAAGGAATAAAAGCAGAGTATCTGTTTGGCTTAAAACAATCTAGAATGTAAAGAGGATGGAGGAAACTAGTAGAGAAGTAGGCAAAGGGCTTATAACCTGTTAGAGCTTATAGAATAGGCAATATTATCCTTATTTGCCTAAATTTTATATCCGTATCAATGTAAAACACGAAAGCTCAGAGGTAGAATGCATGGTATTCCATTGATTAGTGTGAAGTTGAAAATTGAAGGTGGGGCGAGGTCAAACGCTCGAAGTATGGACGAACAAGCTAAGGCGACAGCTGAGAACCACTTATGCAGTTCCGACCTGTATAAGTGTGCAACAATCAAGGACGGTATTTTCTTAGAGGAGGTCCTAGCTATACTGGCAAAAGTTTAAAAACTTAAATGAGATAAGATTAAGATTAAAAGGATATTAGTAAATTAAAAAAAAAAAAACTATAATAATAAGTATTATAAAGCTATAAATTTTAATCAAGGAGATCGATCTTGTGGGACTATTAATAAAAAATATTTGCTTAAAGTTACCATGGAAGCTAGCTATTAATACCTAAGCTGGGGGATGACGACAAATGGGAAGTTAAAGGTTTAAAAATACTTACAACTACTTAGTATAGTGGAAAAAATAGCCTGTTCAGAATATAATTAATAGGTTACCAATAAAAATATAGCAAATACATCATTTGTAAAATAATATTTAGAAAAACATTAACGCTAATATAACTATTAGAAAAAACTACTAAAACACTGCCTAAATCTTACCAAATTTTACTAAAAACTATTAATCTTTTAATATCTAGTTAATTAAAAACCGGCCTTCTTACTAACCTAGATAAAAAATCACTGTTAAATTACCAGTGTCGCCTAATGTCGGCCAGCTGAATACATATGAGCTAGTATCACTGATCTATGGGTAAGGATCCATCTATATTGAAAAGTAAGGTCTCTCTGACTGAATCTATCTGGAAGAACTGAATAAAAATGGTCAACAAAGGAACAAAGTCAGACCGAGAGGATGCTGTATAATCAGTAATACAGATCCGTTTTGGTCGACACCCAATATACCTGCCACTGTCCACCAAGGTTAGTTCAGGTTAAAAGTAAGGCATGGATGCACTAGTTTATATAATTTTTTTTTTAATATATTAGTTAACAATATAATACTAAGGCTAAGCTTAGTATTTAACATACACCCTACAAAGAAGGGCTTATACTCTGCAGGATTGTACTTCTAAGTTAATATTTAAAATATTTATATGCATTAGATAGATAATATTTGGCAAGATTAGAAACCCAGATTTTTGGTAATAAATTATTACATTAACTATTACGTCTAATACCTGAGAGACAAATGAATACATAGCGAATATGAGGTTGTAAAAAATAAAAGCTATATATACATATAAAAGTACAAAAAGAAAAGTTATTATTATTTTTTTCCCCCTTTTCATTTACCACAACTATTAATAATATTTTATAATTGGCGCAATAATAATATAATTGCAATAACTAATCTAACTGCCCTGACGGTTGGCCCAGCCGTCGGAACGGGACCTTTTCCGGCTCTCTGCTTAGAGCTGACAGATCCGAGTATGAATACTACTATTACTAGTAAAATTGCAACCAAAAACATAATATATATTTCCATCCTATTTATTCTATGCAACTTCCTATATTATTTATAAACCCACTTCTCTCTACATTTACTCTCTGGGAGCAGTAGGTTATAAAGCTATTTAGGACACCAAGATCCTAGGACTAAGGGCAGTCGAGAAAACGGGTATAATTTAATAATAGGTCGGGAATTGGCCAAGTTTAGGCCTATATCTTTATTATAAGCTGCCTACATGGTAACGCAAAGTTACAGTAGTATCTTAAGAACGCGTTAAATAACCTTATCTACGGGCGTTCTGCATATTATCTTAATCTATTCGAAGAAGAGATTAAGGATCGGTTTTTTTTGTCAAGGGCTTAACCTCTATAACCTAATAACTAGGGTGGATACAAAAGGAATCGTCGAAGAGGAAAGAGAAGAGGAAACAGCGATGAGACGATTGCGAAATAAGGGGGCGAAGAAGTCACATGATAGAGTGTACTAATCAATATACTAATCATGTGGCAGGCGAGGAGAAAGGAAACACGAGGGCTGAGGGCCCGAGTAGGCTAGCCCCTTACATTTTTAAAGCCAATATCTTATTAATAGCATTTTAATTCAAGGTTCTTTAAAAGGCCTCGGTATTAGTTTATTACTGTAAGCACGACTCTGCCGTAGAGTTGTAGTTAACTAATCATTAATTATTATAGGGGGCTTAGAGTAGTAAAATTAATAATAATATATATAGAATATTTCTACACATTTATAACAATAGAAGTATTATATGTCGATTTTGTAATAAATACAGTATTAGGTTAATTTTTTAAGTCAAACAAAAAATAATACGCGGCACAGAGTGAAAACTATTTAAACAATTCTTAATATAGCACTATAGACAGTAACGTTCTGCTAATTATTATAATAAGCGAACTTTTTACATATACTATCAGACTTCTAATTAGACTACCAACTAAACCTAATTGAGTACCGATTCCTATTCGAGAAGCAGTATATAATATAATATAATTATTTTCCCTTGCTTTCCCTTACAGACCAACATAGCACTTCGTTCCTTCTCAAGGTGAACAGAGATTGTATGACAGAACGCAACAACCTTAGTAGCCACTATATTTGTCAAGGGCTAAACCTCTATAACCTAATAACTAGGGTGGATACAAAAGGAATCGTCGAAGAGGAAAGAGAAGAGGAAACAGCGATGAGACGATTGCGAAGTAAGGGGGGGGAAGTCACATGATAGAGTGTACTAATCAATATACTAATCATGTGGCAGGCGAGGAGAAAGGTAAACACGAGGGCTGAGGGCCCGAGTAGGCTGAGGGGCTCTAGCCCCTTACACTACTCCCCCCTTCCCTATATAAGGCCTCCGAAGGAGGCCTAATAGCGAGGCGGGTTGCTGGCGCGGGCTGTAAGCTTTTTCGGAGGTTTCTCGGAAGTATCAGACAAAGTAGAGCGGGCATCGCAGTCTGCGATCCAATGATCATTAGAACCGCAGTAAAGGCATAAATTATTCGCAAGTCGGAAACGGCGGCGGTCAGAGGTGGTGGATTCATGAGAAGAATCAGATAAAACAGGCGAAGCAGCTCGGGCTACTCTCACAGAGCCAACATGAACAGGATTGGGGTTTATTTTAACTGAGTTGACTCGGACCGGATCAGTATCCATTGGGTCTGTATTCGGGGTCAAAGCTGGTTTCGGGGCTGATTTTGGACTAGGACGGGTACGCCGATCGGTACTCTGGACAAGTTCAATATATTCATTATAGGGAAGATCAAAGAGAGAATTATTCGAGTCTTCTAGTATTCGACGGAGATTAGGCCGTAGCCCCGGTGTAGCGTGGTAACACGTGATATATCTGGCCATGAGTTTACATTGGCTTCATATGAAAGTCGTTCAAAACGAGCAAGGTAGGCGATAAGCGATTCGTCATCCCTCTGTTGTATAGAAGTAAAGCGCTGAATAGCCTCCTGCTGTTCCCGTGGGTTATGGCATAGACGCTGAAAAAAAGAGAAAATAACTTCAGGATCCCATAGCTGGTTTTCTTCGGCAGATTGGCGGAGGTGCAGGACAGAAGCTTGCTGAGACTGTTCTAGTCGATCCCATACATAGTCAAAAGCATCAGCTCCTACGAGCTGGTCTGATCGAAGTTTTGCTTTAATTGACGGGAGCCATGTGCGAAGCGTGTATGGTTTACCGTTAAAGCGAGGCGGATCTGGCAGGCGGGATCTGGGTGTCTGGACGGAAAGAAGCTGCGTACGAAGCTGGTGGACATCTGTTCGGGAAGCATCAAGGTCCGCACGTAGTTGCTGTATTTCATTACGCTGGTTTTGAATATCAAGGCGCTGGTTTTGGAGCTCTTGCTGGAGCTGCTGCACAAGCAGGAGGGTGGATTCGGGTCGGACATCGTAAAGATATTCCCATAGACTGGCGGACAGGCAGGCAAGCGGGCGGGCGAGCAGGCAGGCAGGCGAGCGGGCGGACAAGCGGGCAGGCGAGCGGGCAGACAGGCAGACAAGGACGATTCCTAATGTCAAGGGCTAAACCTCTATAACCTAATAACTAGGGTGGATACAAAAGGAATCGTCGAAGAGGAAAGAGAAGAGGAAACAGCGATGAGACGATTTGCGAAGTAAGGGGGAAGTCACATGATAGAGTGTACTAATCAATATACTAATCATGTGGCAGGCGAGGAGAAAGGAAACACGAGGGCTGAGGGCCCGAGTAGGCTGAGGGGCTCTAGCCCCTTACAATATTCGTCCTTTACAACCTGAATTAGCTTGCCTGAAGAATCCAGCTAAGTTGGTTATATTTTACACTGAATAGGCTTCAAAACATGTCCTTAAGGAGTCAGGGTCAGCAAGGTAGTTAGTAAGATAGTGGACCAGTGGTAAAGTTATAAACAGAATTAAATAGTAAAATATAGAAATTAATTAGCAGGATCTTGTAACTACAGACTAGTATAAAGTAAAAAATAAAACCAATCATTCTCTATTTGTATTTTGAAACAATTCAGTACCTAATTAGCTGGTAGGTAGTGGTAAGGTTACTAGTAGTGGCAGTAAAAAAAAAAAAAAAAAAAACAGCAAAACCTTTTAGCTGCTTTCTTATATAGGCTTAGTTGGTAGCTTAATTAGAAGTCCGGGTAGTATATATAAAAAGGCCCTATAATTAGTAAATAAATTGTAATTAATTATTATAGGCCTTTTAGTTTATTTAGGTATTTATTATTCCCTATTACTTATATCTGTTTCCTGTGAAGCCCGTACGCACTGCACTGATTTAATATAATATCTCGTTAAAACTAAAAAAAAAAAAAAAAAAAACACCAATAAACACTGTCGATATAGTGTTATAATTTCTACTACTACTAATAATAATAAATTGTAGTGATCCATAATTATTTAATACATAAGACGCGAAGACCTCTAGTACCTTTTACTTCCTGGTTTATTTATTAAACTATTATATTAAGGGTATAATACGACCGATAGACATCGTTGTACATGAAATAATTTATATAGTTTTGCCTAGATTTATTATAATATTAGTAGGGATTTTAGTAGGCCATGTTTTATATTTTGCTTAGATTATATTTATAATGTAAAGTATTAGAATTTAAAGTTTGAGTAATTATATAATTCTTTACCCCTATTAATTAGTTGCTTATAAGTAGAGTATAAATTTAACATTATACTGCTTCATTTTTAGCATAATATTAGTTTCGTAAAATATATTATAGCCTGAAATTATTAAAGCAGCTATATAGATTCTAAATCGAACTCTAAAAATGTAACTAGGGTTTTTAAAGTCAATTAAAGCCTTATACTTATACGGGTTAAAATGATCGTTATTGCTATGGCAAAGAGAAATGGGGAAAATATTAATAGAATTAGTTTTAAACCATATTTCTAAGGATTCACGCCTATTTCCAGACAATATGCTAATATTAATAATAATCCTTGTTAATAATATAATTATATTATATCATTCAAAAAATTATATAAAAATTCTCGGTAAAGTAACCAAATTTAGATCTAAATATAAGAATTATTAAATGTCAGAATATTGAGATACTCTAAAACTGCTTAATTAGGAAGCAGCTCAAACCCCTGCTTGGAATATACCATTATTCTTTTATCGTACTATTATAGAATAGTATTCACAACCCATTTCATCTAAGCTAATTCTAAATAGATACAATATAGCCCATGGCTATTCCTATATTGGTTAGTCTAGTGGTCCACCACCCTCCGATATCAAGGAAAGACCTGATAGGAAGTTATGTATCTGCCAAGATATATATATATAGAAAAATTACGAATTATATTTACCTAACTAATTTAGAAATGCCCGAAACACCTCTGCTATTGGAAAAACTTATTTAAATTAAAGGCTTTATTATTTAATGGTCCAACTAACTGGGCTGCAGGAAAATAAAAAACCATTACTACTGACACTACCAAAGCTGAATTACTTGCTTTAACCAGTGATAATAAACAAGTAATTATATTGGTAGAAGCGCCTATTTAATTTATTAGATTAGGGCTGAACCAGAAACTCCAGATTTACCGTGATAATCAGCAAACTATTGATCCTTCAACAAAAGAGAATTTAATATTTAAAACAAAATTGAACATATTAATATTCAAAATAATAGATTAGATATTTAATGGATATCTACCGATCTTATTATGCCTGTAAATGAATTCACAAAAACATTTTCAGGCCAAAATTATCAAAAATTTATAAAAATGCTGAATGTGCATGATATTTTAAAAAGAACTAATAAATATCCTAGCTTAAACATATACATTAATTAATTAATATATATTTTAGAGGCTGGGGTATGTCAGAATATTAAGATATTTTAATCACTTAATTAGGAAACAGAAATTTTGGCAGCTTATTCCAAACGTCCGAACAAAGAAACACAATATGGTACAGGCTCTAATCCCGAGATTAATTTAGAAAGGAAACCCGAGGAATTTAAAGATACAAAAGCAGCTCAAATCTCTGCCTAAAAGAAGTGGATAATTATTCTTTAATATTCTTCAACAATATACCTCTCTAAATAGGAAATTATAAGTTATTTTCTACTGTTATATTATGCCTATTATATCTTGTTTAAAATAACTTATCACTCCACGCTATCATTATTATATAATATTATTATCGAGTAATATTCATGCCATAGGCAAGTAGCCACTTCAAGCTATATGATAGATTTGGACTAAGAGAACTCGCCGAGGAGTTTCTAGCTAGGGCCGCGGCGACCAAACAGGCAAATAAACTGAGCGTGATGTAAATGAGATCGCATGATCTGGAGAGTTATACACAACCTCGCGAGTGCCGGGTATACGGGCTCAAACACATTGCGGGCCCTGCCCGCTACAATTTACATTGTAACCTATCTCCTCCAAGCCAATTCTAAATAGTATGCGCATAGCCTTTTGCTATTCCTACTCTGGTTATTCTAATGGTCCACCATTTTCTCTCAGATAGATTATATCTAAGGTGGCAATCGAACGAAACATCAACGTAGAGAAGGAAGAAAGAATTCTATCCTACAGGAAATGCGGGAATATCTCTATGTTGTGGGATCAACAGTGAACAACGTCTTGGTGCCTCAGGCAGGGTTCGGCCTAGGTCCTGACAAAAATAGCAAAACAGTTGTTATGGTTATTTAATAGAAAAATAGCTAACTTTAAAAGATGTTAGTGTCACAGGCTGAACCTGTAACATACTATATAGGGTGCTAGATGCGACTGATCTTCGATCAGTCGTCTTGTACCTTTTTATATGGTCAAGTGGTTTTATCTCTACTAGCGCAGAGACAACCAAACCATCACAGTTAAAAAAAATAGTAGTAGACTTAAATGTTTCCAGCTGTAGTTAGTATAATAATATATTTGAAATATTTAAGCCATTAGCTATAATGTTTTAGGCGTTAATTTATCAATATTCGCCCGCGTGATAGTCATATTATTATACTATTATGCATAATATTACAATTTAACCTCTTTTAATAATGTGTATATATAGGTTACTTATTTGAATTTAGAGTAGTTAGTTTAGTGAACCTTTTATGGCTAGTAATAGATCACTAATGCTTTAAGTAGTTAATCGAATGACATATTTTTTGGAGCAGGCACTGGTTTTGAATTAGATATTAAATTTAGTAGATGTATATACTATAACAGATAATTTTAAATAGTAAAGTAAACATTACATAGGCCTTTTTATTCTAAAGGGGATGGCAAAATCCTGTGATAGTATTTAGATATTATATTAAAACTACTATAACCTTTAGACGATTAAAATAATATTTTATTAATTCATTTAAAAGTAGCAGCCTAGTACTAATGTTTGTCATATTGGTAACTAGTTACATAGGATTTTTTTTTTTTTTAACAAAATGCAAAATGCAAAACTAAGGTATTTTTTATATTAAATTAATGAGAAACTTTATGGAGCTCTAATTTTTAATATAAAAAAAAATTTCATTCTAGGGTATTCTTTATCCCTTGTAAAAATATAGCTACTGGGACCTAAAATATTAGTAGATGTAGCCAAGGGTTTAATTCCACGCCAATAGGCTTATCGATCCCCCCTGGTGACTTTATATAGATCTTACATACATGCATGCTACAGATTAGTATAGGGCCCACCGAAATCGAAAACAATGTTCGCTGTAAATATATACAATAAGTATGCGGTGGGAGAAATACATTTAGAGGCATAACGAAGGCAGTGAAGTATATAGGGAACAAATTCTGCCAGGGTATCCAAATTCTGTCAAATGTTGCATAGACAATCAATCAAGGAGCCAGCACAACTGCCAGTTACTATAGTCAGTGTCGAAACGGTGGTATGGGGATAGGTGAAAAAGAATGGTTAAGAAGCAGAACGGGCACTAGACCCAGCTTCAAGTTGGCTTAAAGTCCGGCTGTCACCTAAATTCGAGGTGTCCGGGACCTGTGATGTATTTTCCCTCGGTGCAGGACTTTGTCCAGCGACTGAATGGCCATGGGGGTGAAATAATCGAAAGGAAAATAGCCCCAGCCTCCTAGACTGCTGATCTCCAGCGACTGGCGCTGTGTTTGAATGAACATTATTGTTGTTGGTGTTGGGGTTCCGGGAATTCCAAAGGCGCTGCACTCCAGGGAGAAAAGAGTTAGTTCTGTTCGCCAGATGTCCTCTATGAGTATGCCGTTCAGGCAAAGCTAGTTGCATCTGGAAAGGTCGTCTTCCTATAACAGCAGCCTCTGGTGGGTTCAGGACAGATGCACGTGGCGCGATACGGCGTTCTGGACGCCCCGAACTTGTGGCACATTCAGAAGGGTCAGAACGAGGTTTTGGAATGTAATAATCTGCCTTGCATAAGGGACAGCAAGCCTTCCGGCTTGTCAGCCATGGATCAACACATGAGGCGTGGAAAGCATGCCCGCATGTCAGTCCACGTATGTCATCATCATCCTCAATAGCATCAAGGCAAATCGCACATGAATCACCGGGGGTAGGTAAAAGCTCAGCAGGTACTGAACTCGGTATTTGATAGTCAACATTTTCATCACAGTCTAACCCATCAACTTGCACTGGCATCGAACTGGAGTCTTTGGGGCCTGTGGTGATTTTGGAGCACCCATCTCCTTGGACATCGTCTTTCGAACGCCTCTCTTCAGTATGCTGCACATACTGCATTCCCGCTGATGCGGTAGGCATGGACCGATGGTAACGCTCCATTTGCATCGCTATTCCCGAAGACGGTGTACTAACACTTGCGGAAAAAGCACCATCGCCGTCTACAAGGCTTTGTGGTCTTCTATCGGCTGCTGATATTCCACCTGCTGTCGGAAGACCCTCACTCGCCCGCGAAGACCTCCACACTTTATATTTTATAAGCGGGAACCTTTCATTGACCTCGTCCATGGTCATAAGTTTCTTTTCTCTTCTTCTTCTATGTGGCCGGGGCACGGCAATTAGATCGATGGGCTCTCCCGTCTCTTCATTGCGCAGCTGTCGATTGCGTTGGTTGTAGCGAAAGCAGTATTTCACGCCCACAATAATCCTATAGAGGCGGATATTAGAATGAAACCAACGTACAGGCAGTCTAGTAGGGTCTGTGTAGACATACCACAGATTTGTGAAAACAACACCAAACCCAAGGGCGACAAAGAACAAAAGCGGCGAGCTTGTAGGACTAGAGCCATTACTATTTCCATCGTGTGCAGTGTCAGTAGCACCTGACAGTGAACTTGTAATTGTAGAAGCGGGCATTTTAATAGTCAGGGTGCTGATATTATATGTAACCACTCTTATCAGATGCTAGGGCTAGGAGCAAGATCTGAGAGAAGCCTTGCACTTGGTAGTGTATGGTGCAAAGTATTATGCAAGGCAGAATAGTACTTTACTTTCCATGCCCTAGCACATACAAGAGCTCATGAGGCTGAAGGACTGGTGCCTCAGCGGTTATTGATGGATGGAATCTGGCTTATTTAGCTCCAACTCGACGCCAATAAATACCTAAACACATACTTCCTCAACCATCACTAATTGTAGACAAAGCTAGAGCTATCAAGGGGCCCCAGCAGTACACAGATAATCGACAAGAACGGCTCTAACCAGGGCCCAGCCAAGTGTGGCATTAATGAGGATATACTTGACATTGGGGTGAGCCTAGGTACGGGCTAGTATGACAATTAAAACTTACCAGCCACGGGTTATCGGCAGGCTCAGACCAGGTACTCCTAGCAAAGAAACCTACTCACTATGCCGGTTTTGAATTAGCCTAGTTAAGTAATCTCAAAAAAAGAAAAAATAACTGAATAATAGTACCCCTAGTACACTAATCTATCGTTACAAGCAATCAATTTGCCACGTAATGATCCCGTGACCCTGATCACGGGACACACGCATATGTGGATGAATTCGACCACCCCCCTAATGAAAGATTTCTCTCTCTTCGTGCTTAGTTCAATTTATAATATCAATCATTCAATATCATCTACGGTTGATCCCTTACACAATCCAGAACGCCGACTAAATTCCTTACACCCCGCGGCCGGGGGGGGGGGGGGTTCTTACAACAAAAGTATTCAACCACCTATACAAAAAGTCATATATTTCTAAACGACGTAGTAAATACAGCCCCTATTCAGGAAAAAGGTTGCGAATATTATTAAGTTATATATATTATATAACCAGTATATTCGTACATGTATTTTAGAATTTTTTAATCTTTTCTAGCCTAAGGCTAAATAAAAGAAAAGGCTTAAATAAAATCTTTGATCTAGGCAAGGTAGTTAACTAGTTATACTGATATACCTGGGTGATACAATTATTATTAAGATTAACTGTAGTATTATCTTCTGTTTACTTGATATATCTAATTTATTAGGTGGAGAATACTTTGTCATAACCAGCCAAGTCGCTCGTAATAAATCGAATTATTCCCCTACTAAAAATATTAACTGTGGAACACAAGGAGGCGTATTATTTTACTGTCGCAGCATAAAGATATTATAGGCTAAAAGTAGCCTATAAGATTATATTCCCTATATATTTTATAATAAATAGATAATATCTTAAAATATATACATTATATACAGATACTAAACCGCATAACCCTATTATGAGTAAAAAACAGTAAGTTAAGTATAATATATAGATATATGTTGGAAATAGGAGCCTAATATAGTAGGCACCAATTACCACTGCAAAATATCAGCAGAACAATGGGAAAATTATAAGTTATAATTTATGTCACAAAAAACTATAGAATATCTTAAAGAACTGCTTTTATAGGAGTTTATAAAAAACTAATTTGCTATATAACTATATTAAATTCAAAGCAAATCTGATCTGGACCTAAATACAGATCTAATTACCCAAAAAAGCAACTAAAACATAAATATAAAAGCAAGTAATTTAATCTATCTATTTATTAATAATATGAGGAAATAAAAATATATTAAAAATATTACTAACATATACTATACTTTACCTCCACTACCGCCTTTAACAGTTATAAGCCTGGGGTGGCCATGAACAATTTTTAATTCTCTATTCTTATTTTTTCCCTTATTTTTTATTGCCTAACCTGCTAAATACTTATTATTAAATATACCAGGTTCCCGAATTGCTTTACCATTTTTAATTTAAGGATAATCTATACTATAGGTTTTATTTACCTTATAATTTTACTAAATTAATTTAATCATTTTCGGGTTAATATCGGCCCTAAATAATATTTAGTTACTAGGTTATAATAAAATGTATAAAATTTTATGTAATTTGTATAAATTATATTCTAGTAAATTAATTTAACATGGCAGAAATTTTAATTTATAATTTAATTAATAAATTATTATCACCGCATTTTTCTGCAGTCCCTATAAAAATTAAATAATTATAAATTTTTTTTAAAATACTACGAAAAAAGTATATTAGTATTTTTATTTAGTATTTAAGATTTAATCTTTCCAAATTAACTTTTCCCCCCTTAAGAATATACACTTACTAATTAAAATTCGGAACATATTAAATACGCGTTTTCTTAATTTTATTATACAGTATGCTATTCAACTCTCTAGAACTTAGCCAACTTTAATAAAGATTTTTCTGTAAATTTTAAATAATACTTAAATTATGTTAAATATAGATGCATGCAAAAACAGAATAAATTTACAGATATTATAATATTAAGATATCTAATTCCCTAATTAGGAAAATATCTAATTTATAACCTAATGCAGCAATAAAACTACTTTAAAAATTAATACATTTTAATTATAAATTATAATATATTAATAATCTTGGTAGTTAGTCCGAGCATCGAAATAAAAAAAACTCAAATTATATAGTACAGATTCTGATCCAGAGTTAGAACCGAGGATTTAAAGGTATAAAAGCAACTTAACCCCTGCTTGGAGAGAAGATAAATAATTTTTAATATTTTTATCACATCAAAGTTATCTACGATTATTATATTATTTGTCTGTTGTATCTTCCACTTTTTAAATATAGCTTATCCCTTTATACTATTATTCTTATATTATATATTATTACAGAATAGTATCCGCAACCTATATCCCCAAGCTAAATCTATAAATAGGCATAACCTGTAAAACACGCAAGCTCAGAGGAAGAACATAGTCAATTTCATTGATTCGTATTCAGTTGAAGATGGAAGGTGTGGACGAGGTCAAACGCTCGAAGTATGAACGAACGAAGTAGGGTGACCGCTGAGAACCACTTACGCAGTTCCAACCCGTACGAGCGTGCAACATAACCTTTAGCTATCCCTATTTTAATTGGTCGAGTGGTCCACTATCCTCCGACAACAGTAATAGATTTGCAATAACAAGAAATATTAATTATTATCTGTATTATTGATAACAAACATATAAAGTATTTCTAACTATTATAAACAGGAATTTACTCCGTACTAATCCATACTAAGTATAGAAAACAGGTATTGGTGTCTAACAAATTAGCCTGGACTATTATACAATATAAATTATTTTTAAATTTAGGTTTATTATTTACTGCTATATAAATATAGGTCTAAGGTATAAAGGCTGTCCTGTCCGGCTTATTAATTAAATTAATATTAAATCTAAGGTTGCAAAGGTGCATGGAGTAGGTCTATTTTAAAATTCATACTGTCGGGGGATGGTGGACCACTAGACTAACCAGGATAGGAATAGCCCATGGCTATTCCTATTTAGAATTAGCTTAGAGGAAATGGGTTGTGAATACTATTCTATATGGGGACAAATTATATTAAACAAGTGTGAGATATAATAGGCGTATAATATAATAATAAAGAATAGCTTATACTTTCCTATTTTGGAAGGTATATTATTAAAGAATATTAAAGAATGATTGTTTATCTTTTTCCAAGCAAGGGTTTAAGCTGCTTTTGTAGCTATATATTCTAAATATTTTAAAACTGCCTGGTAAATTAAACTAGGTGTAAAATGTTATTATAATATAGGATGGAGTTATAATCCACTCTTGGTTTTATTTTTTTTTTATAGTTATTATTAGCTCCCTCCCTTCTTATATCCGCACCATAAAATATTCTGGCCTTTAGCAGTACTGTAATAAAAAACTGTTTTTTATTTATAGCATATATATCTCTTGGTTTAATAGTATATTCCTTGATCTTTCTAGCTTCACTCTCAAAGTACAGAATAGGCTTGGCAAGGATAAAGTTTGGATAAATTATTCGAGCAAATTACAAGTTTTGTATTATTATTGTAGATGTACATATGTTTTAGAGCAATACTAAAAGTCTAGGCTGTAAAGCCATCGTACCGATACCCTTACTAACTTAACTTGTATTGGCCAATTAGACATGGCATTCCCGATGCAGACAGATTATTATACAAAAAAAATAAAGCTATTCAGACCCGAAAAGGTGAGATTTTCTTCCACTAAAAGAGAGGACCCTTTCTAAGATCTTTTCGCTTTGATGTGACCCCGTAGCCGTGTACCTATAGTTTCTGTATAAATTAATATATAAACACCATTACCACCAAGACAGCAAAAAATAATAGTGCCTGCTCATGACTTTTGAAATACAGCTCCGTAATTAAATTTCTATATTTCAAGTTCTGTATAAGTATTTTACCTTTTTATTGCCAGTATATTGTTCAGACCAAGGCCTTTCCCTATTATATAGGGTACCAGATGCAACTGATTTTTCGATTAGCTAGCTATCTTTGTACATTTCCATGATTAAATGGTTTAGTCTATATTAGGGCATAGACAACCCAATATAGACCTCGCACTAACTCTCGTGCAATCCTCGGAGGGTGGTACTCTGGTCATTTAAAGGCCTAAGCTTAGGTCCAGAGCTCTAGTCTGCGGGCAAGTTGCAAGGTTGACCCTTGATTACGAGGGTTAATAAATAGAACGAACATAAAAAGCCTGAGAGTTGTATATTTTATGCAATTTCCACCTATATTTTCTATATTTCCTATGATTTGTGAGGTTTGAGAGTATAGGGCATTTACAAGCACCAGTTAGTATTTTTTCTTAAAATCACCCAGCAATTTTATTCATCGTAATTAGGACATGTAAAAATTTTACACAAATTAGGGCCTGATAGGGGCAGGTCTTAGTATTATAACTTAAGAAAAATTGCCAGCTTTGTATATTATAGAAATTAATTTTAAAACATTTTAAGGCTTAGATTAATCTATCTTACTAGTCTAGACCCATAATACTGGATTAAATTAAATACCTTAGAAACAAGGTATCCTAAAATG